GTCAACTGATCACCACCTGGTGGTGAGTTGGATCAGATGGCAAGGGAACATGCCACGTAGACCTGGCAGACCCAAACGCATAGTGAGGGTCTGCTGGGAACGCCTGGCAGAAGAACCTGTCAAGACGGTCTTCAACTCCCACCTCCGGCAGAGCTTTGACCACGTCCCGAGAGCAGTGGGGGACATTGAGTCCGAGTAGGCCTTGTTCCACTCTGCGATTGTCGAGGCGGCTGTTGCTAGCTGTGGTCGTAAGGTGGCCGGTGCCAGTCGTGGTGGCAACCCCCGTACCCGCTGGTGGACACCAGAGGTTCGGGGAGCCGTCAAGCTGAAGAAGGAGGCCTACAGGGCGTGGCTGGTCAGTGGGTCTCCGGAGGCAGCAGACAGGTACCGGATAGCCAAACGGGGTGCAGCAGTGGCAGTTGCCGAGGCAAAATCTCGGGCGTGGGAGGAGTTTGGTGAGGCCATGGAGAAAGACTATCGATCGGCTCCAAAGAGGTTCTGGCAAACTGTCCGGCGCCTCAGGAGAGGAAGGCAGCAACTCGCTCACACTGTTTACAGTGGGGATGGGGAGCTGCTGACGTCAACTGAGGCTATAGTCGGACGGTGGAAGGAATACTTTGAGGAGCTCCTCAATCCCACCAATGCGCATTCCGAGGAGGAACCAGAGCTGGGAGGCCTGGGGATGGACTGTCCGATCTCGGGGGCAGAAGTTGCTGAGGTAGTCAAACTACTACACAGCGGCGGAGCCCCGGGGGCGGATGAGGTTCGTCCTGGGTATCTCAAGGCTATGGATGTTGTAGGGCTGTCATGGTTGACACATCTCTACAACATTGCGTGGTCATCGGGGGCAGTTCCTAGGGAGTGGCAGACCGGGGTGGTGGTCCCCATCTTTAAGAAGGGTGACCTGAGGGTGTGTTCCAACTATAGGGGGATCACACTCCTCAGCCTCCCTGGAAAGGTCTACTCCAAGGTACTGGAGAGGAGGGTCCGATCGATAGTTGAATCTCAGATAGAGGAGGAGCAATGTGGTTTTCGTCCTGGCCGTGGAACTGTGGACCAGCTCTATACCCTTGCAAGGGTGATGGAGGGGGCATGGGAGTTTGCCCAACCAATCCACATGTGCTTTGTGGATTTGGAGAAGGCTTATGACCGTGTCCCCAGGGGCACCCTGTGGGGGACGCTCCAGGAGTATGGGGTGGGTGGCTTTCTGTTAAGGGCTATTCAGTCCCTTTACCAGAGGAGCGTGAGTTTGGTCCGCATAGCCGGTAGTAAGTCGGACCTGTTCCCAGTGAGGGTTGGACTCCGCCAGGGCTGCCCTTTGTCACCGGTTCTGTTAATCACTTTTATGGACAGAATTTCTAGACGCAGCCGTGGTGTGGAGTGTGTCGAGTTTGGTGGCAGGAGAATCTCGTCTCTGCTTTTTGCGGATGATGTGGTCCTCCTAGCTTCATCCAGCTCTGACCTTCAGCTCTTGCTGGGTAGGTTCGCGGCCGAATGTGAAGCGGCTGGGATGAGGATCAGCACCTCCAAATCTGAGACCATGGTTCTCGACCGGAAAAGGGTGGCTTGCCACCTCTGGGTCGGGGGAGAGGTCCTACCTCAAGTGGAGGAGTTTAAGTATCTCGGGGTCTTGTTCACGAGTGAGGGTAGGAGGGATCGGGAGATCGACAGGCGGATTGGTTCGGCGTCTGCAGTGATGCGGACGCTGAGCCGATCTGTCGTGGGGAAGAGGGAGCTGAGCCAGAAAGCCAGGCTCTCGATTTACCGGTCGATCTACGTCCCAATCCTCACCTATGGTCATAAGCTCTGGGTAATGACCGAAAGAACGAGATCGCGGATACAAGCGGCCGAAATGAGTTTCCTCCGTAGGGTGGCCGGGCTCAGCCTTAGAGATAGGGTGAGGAGCTTGGACATTCGGGAGGGACTCGGAGTAGAACCGCTGCTCCTCCGGATCGAAAGGAGCCAGTTGAGGTGGTTTGGGCATCTGGTCAGGATGCCTCCTGGACGCCTCCCCGGGGAGGTGTTTCGGGCATGTCCTGCCGGCAGAAGGCCCCCGGGTCGACCCAGGACACGTTGGAGAGGTTACATCTCCAATCTGGTCCCGGAACGCCTTGGGGTCCTGCCGGAGGAGCTGGTGGATAAGGCCGGGGAGAGGACGGCCTGGAGCTCCCTAGTTGGGATGCTGCCCCCGCGACCCGGACCCGGATAAGCGGAGGAAGACGAAGACGAAGACGAAGACTAAGTGGCACTGCCTCTCTCTCTGCTGCTAAAGCTACGGATAGCAAATGCTACGGGCTATGCCTGAGCGTGAACGCGCATGAAGCAGCCTGCTCGACCCGAGCATCTCTCTTTTTCTGTGATTAAACAGAAAAACAGGCAATCACAGTAAAAAGGCCAGGGCTCATTCTACAGGACCAGGGCATTGCAGGAGAACGTATGAAGAAGACATTTATTATTTCTATACATGTTTTGGCTGTCACACTTCCATAACGTCCCTTTAAAGGAAATATTTATATAATAAATATGAAAATGCATAAAAACTGTTTGAAAGTTAAATAGATAGAAAGTTAAAAATATGTAAAAAATAAAAAATAATATAAATAAATAAATAAAAAGGCAAGAAGTAAACAAAGAACATGTACAAAAGTAAACATGTTTCAAAACAAAAATGTAAAAATAAATTTTATATACATTTATATATATTATATATGTATTATATATACATATGTATGTATATACATATATATGTACATGTAAGTATATATATATATATATGTATGTATATTATATACATATATATATAAATAAGTATATATATATATATATATATATGTATGTATATTATATACATATATATACATACATGTATATAAATTTTATATAAATGTATATATATGTATGTATATATATGTATATTATATACATACATATATACATACATATATATATACATTTATATAAAATTTATATATGTATGTATATATGTATGTATATAGGTATATAATATACATATACATATATATATATATATATGTATATACATATATACATATATATATATATATACATACATATATATAAATTTATATAAAATTTATATATATGTATGTATATATATGTATATAATATACATATATATATACATATATATATACTTATTTATATATATATATATATGTATATGTATATTATATACATATACATAATATATATCTATATCTATATACATATATATATACTTATATATATATATGTATATATATATATATATATATATATATATATATATATATATATATATATATATATATATATACATATATATATATATATATATATATATATGTATATATATATGTATATTATATACATATATATACATATTTATATATATAAATATGTATATATATATATATATATAAATATGTATATACACATTTATATATATGTATATATATATATATATACATACGTAAGTATATATATTTGTATATGTATATTATATACATATACATAATATATATCTATATCTATATACATATATATATATATACATATATATATATATATATATATATATATATATATATATATATATATATATATATATATATATATATATATAATATAATGTTTTTAAATACTTTATTGTAAAAAGATTCCCCTTTTCACATACTTCAGTCAGTGCCCTTTACCTGCACAGGAGGAAACGTATTAATAAATCCTGTAACGGTTTGTTATTATCAAGTAAAAACCTGCAACACTTCAGCAGTCTGCAGCAGCTTGATTTGTGCCTTTAGATCTTTAACCTCCTTTGTTCAACAGGAAGTTTCTTATCAGCGGTGCCAGTACTGACATGTCCACTAAGCTTTTCCCTCATTTCTCCAAATTTCCTCCTTGTAGCTCCAAGTGAACAAAGACAGCAACCAGAACGGGACCCTTTGACGTGCCACTGGGGAGGATGTGTTGGACAACCACCTATTCAGAGGCTTTTATTCTTTCCCCTCAGAAGGTTCAAAAGAGGAATGTTGTGGGAGCCGAAGCTGTGGCCGGCCTTTCCTTTACGTCAGCCACACAATGACCCGCCTGTCCGTGGACGGGGCGTCCGAGAGGACACTGCGGCTGGCAAGGAAAAGACGTGCACCTGCTGGTCCGCACAAAGGCTGCCAACGTGATGACTGCTGGGAAAAGATGAACCTTTACTGTTTCCTTTTTATTATCATTCACAGAATTAAAGGAAGTCTGGCTCTATTATGTGATTGTGGAACACTGATTGCAACGCTGTCACTCGTCCATGTCCCCGTCTCTTCCTCCTCTGTGGGAAACGGAGTGCGGCCAAAGGCAGGAGTGTATTTTAGACAGGCCTAAATAACACTACGGCCTCTTTCATTGAGAAAGTGCCAAGAGAATGAAAACGTAGCGCAGGAACCAGCGCAGCGAGCTGATTCCTGTAAGAGACGAGGTCTGCCTGTGCCAGAGGACATTGTCAGCCTCTCCGAGGGAGTGAAGTGCATTTGTATTAGGATTGAGCAGCGTCCAAAAATAACCCATTTGTCCGTCTCCAGGGTCCCTTCCTGGTAGATAATGGATGGGGGATGGCGAGGGGAACTGGAGATGCAATTAATAGTGTGCAAGACCAAGGAACATCAAACATCAATGTACTCGCTGCAACTTCATGTCCTTAATCCCTGACACCCCAGTGGAGTAAACTCGGGCCCCTTAATAAAATTAATCCTTTAAATAAGCAGAAGCGATGTTAGCGGGGACACAAAGGGCTGGGTCGGGCAGCTGGGGCTGTTAAGTGGCAGCGCCAGTTAACAGGAGCAGGTGCCTTTTCTGCTTTTACATCCTTAATCCATCTCACTGGGGTGGGACCGGAGGAGACAAATCAAACGGCACCTGCAAAATTTGAGGATTCTTAAATTTCTCGTGTGAGCGGCGTAAATCTGACGGGATGCAGTTGCCGTGTGCCGATAATCAGTCAACCAGAATGACCTCACCTTCTGATTCCTGTCATCCCTCGGAGGGCTGTCGGGCAGCATCATCTTACGAAATTCTTCCTTTGAAACTCGCTGCAGTGACTTTCCATCTCGATCAGCAGCCTGGAGCCGGCAGGCGGCCTCCTGTGCATACAGCTGCCTGTGAACGACAGAGGTCCACAGTTCATCAGCGGGGTCACGTGCACCGCGTCCTGCTAAAGGGAAGCCCAGCCAGTTTAGGAATATAGTCAAAATAATGCAAAAACTCCAAGTGAAGGGTCTGTCGTAGCATGCCAGCATCAGACGCCTGCCTGCTCTGTGCTCATCAGAAGGGGCGGCAGGGAGGAGATTTTAAAGCCACCTTGTTCCAGACTGCTGTGTCGAACCCAAAGACAGAGTCTGAAGCAAGTACAACCAAGAGGGTAGAAAAGAAAAGACGAGCATTTTGAACAGAAGCTATCACAAACCAAAGGAGTGCTCCGAATAACACAGAGAAAGACACGAAGGCTGTTGAACAGGGACCGGAGGAGAACCCACAAGAGGCGACAGGCTTCCTTGGCACTGCTTGTCAACAGGTTTGGTTTGAAAACATTTAAATGATTCTGAGTGTTCGGGGAGGAGGGCATGGAGGGTGTGACCGGCCTGACTGGTGAGGCTGTGCTGCTGTGAAACCTCTGCTTTAAGTGAGCAGCCTGTGCACGACATCCTGAGAGCTGTTGGCAGGGTGTTAGACGGCTGCAGGGGCATCCGTTCGACGGCTAGACGATGGGACAGTCTGGCTGTCATGGTTACCCAGAGAAACCATTACCAGGGTTGCAGTGTTCCAGCTAAGGAAAGCCTGGCGGCCTGGTCTTAAACGTTAAAAATGGCTAAAAAAGCTGCTCTGTAAAAAAGGTAGAATCTGTTTTTAAAGGTCTCGTTCGCTGTGAAACTGTGTACTCCTTGTTTCTTTTTCAAATGCATTTAGTAACTCAGAGTTGTATATGAATACTAAATGTGAAAATTGTCTTCATTAGCAGCAGAAAGGAAACTAACGGGAAAACAATCGGATCAGAAAAAGCCGGTCTCTTCTACATCACAGGGAACATTTGCATTTATGGCCCCGCCCAACTTGGCTTTGAGGGAGCGGAGCACGTCTCGGCTGGCAGAAGCTAACCATCAGCAACTGTAGTATTTGTGAGGATAACACATCAAGGCTGTATTCTTTACCCAAGAAGGGAGAACGAAGGAAGAGTTGCGTTGCTATTAGCCAATCAGAGGAGAGACATTTGCATATCAGGAATGTTAATGAATACAGGGCTGCCAAATTTAGAACTTTTCCACGCGCGAGAGCAGGTGTCGTAATTTTTCACTTCCATAAGTTGGCAGTGACAGTGGGGGGGTGGGTTGGGGGGTTCTTCGGCCTGAGAGCGTGTGGAGAGGATGAGATGAGTGTGAGAGCCCTGATGAATAAGACTTGTAACCCCCCACCCACGTACGCCACTTCAGAATAATTTTACCTCCTGAAAGAGGAACACCTGGGGCCTCGTTTATCAAGCTAGCTGACGCACAAAACGGGGTCGGAAAACTGCGTAAGCAACTTTCCACGCAAACTTTGGGATTTACGAAAGAAGACTTAGCGGAAAAATGAGCGCAACTTTAAGCTGACTAAGGATCTGGCTTACACACATGCTGGACGTGGAGAGCACCTGCAGTGCTGCTGCTGAGAAGATAACATTATGAAATCCTGCAGCATTATCACTTGTACCGCTTCGTTTTCACACAGAACAAGACCCCCACATGCACACACACGCGCACACACACACATACGCACACACACACACACACACACACACACACACGCACACACACACACACACACACACACAGCCTGAAGCGCAGAATATCAGCAGGGGGGCAGATTGAGACAGAACATCATGCGTGTGTGACAGTGTGTGTCCTGTCACTGTGACCTGATTAATCATGCGCCCTGGCTACTTGTACAGGGCAGATCTCTGTTTGGCTGACTGGTTAGCACATGTGACTTTCACCCGGGAGTCTGGGGATCGAATCCTGATTGGACCATTTTTTTTATACCCGCCACAGATCTCTCTGAAGAACTCACAACATTGACGGCTTCAGCAACGCTGTGCCACTCCCTGGATTTTCTCTTATTTGATTTGCAAAAGCACTTCCTTTCATTTCTCCACCTCACCCACAGGTACCTCAACTTCTGCTTCCTTGATCTGCCTTGATCTACGGTCGCCATGTCATTGGCGGAGCGCTGCAACAGCCGGCTTATGTATACGCATGAGATCCACAAGGCACTTGCGGGATGCGACTAAAAAGCAGCTGAGAAACATTCTCGTTGGTCTTTGATTAATGATGCGGAGATTGCGTGCAGCTGTGTGTACTCCATGTTTGATAGATCACACACCTGATGGGTGTAAGTACATTTTTTTTTGCTGAGCTTAAGTACGTTTTAGTACGGATTCTACGCCATGTTTGATAAATGAGACCCCAGAGCTTTTACCCCACATAAAACGGCTCTAACTGCATTCATTCATACTAGAGAACACCTATTTATTGAAAATAATTAGTGAAAGAAAAAAATTCCTTACTGTAGATATTTTTCCCATTTTTCTTTGATCATTTTACGCTCAAACTAAAAAATCTGTATATTCAGAGCAGGGGGCGTGTCGCTTTGCATCGGCGCTACTAGGCTCTTTAAGAGCTACAGCAGAAATGTCACAGCTATGCACAGTTGGCTAGCCCTTGAAATGTGCAACATGTTGCCAGGAATAACACTTGACATGACATTTGAGTGGGGTGTTGGTCAAGGACATGAGGGTGGGGTGGTGTGTGGAGGCAGGCTAGGTCAGAGCAGGGCCAAGGGGTCGACTTTTACTGTGTACCTGGAACGTTCAGACAGCATTTTGAGAAGGAAGGCTAACAAGCTCTCCGCTCCTCTGAAACAAGAAGCAGAAGCAGGAAAGAAAGAAGACAGCCCAGAGTTAGAGGCATTACACATCTGAGGTTGCATCGAGCGTTAGATCACATGAGAAAAGTTTTTAGGAAAGGGAGAGAAGAGAAACTTCATTATGTTAGAACCATACCAAAGACTAATATCAGGCCATTTATCACGTGGAACTGTTACATAAGACAAAATGAAATGGCAGGAATATATAAACAAACAACGAGGAGCGTAAATGAGTTATGGAGCTTCTTCATTAGTCGTCAGAAAATAACCTCGGTGCATGCGATCAATCACACGGCAAGTTTTCCAACATAAATCAAATTACTTGGAAGCTAAAGCTGGGGGGTTTCTTCCAGGGCAAATCTCACATTCTGCAGTCCAAAACACACTCAAACACGTGCACTTCTTCACAGCTAGACTTGTATTCATCAGAGCGTAGATTTCCTTAACTCCGCTAACCGACTGACTTCGTCCCTCCCGGGTGCCTTATCTAGTGGCTACTTTGTGGATTCCTGCAACAGCGGTGTGCTGCGGTGTGGATCGTTGCTTTACTCCCAGCAGAGATGCTGAACTGTCAGAGGCTCAGCACAGCGATCCACAGGGACCCGGCTTCAGAAGGACGATCAATAACGACGTGTGACATGTGCCAAGTGTATTATGTCTGGCTTCACTGAGCTTATTTATTTTGTGGCTGTCTGCTTCAATCAAGGCTGGTTTGTAAACCCTGGGTGGGCCAGACAATAGCAGACCTGCCAACCTGTACGCAATTTGGCATCTATTTACGCTGGTACGACTCACCCCTCTAAACTACGCAAAAAGCTGCGGATACGCGAGTTGAGTTCTGTGGCAAATATGCACGTGCGGTACTCATGTCTGACAACACGACTCAGCGGCGTGGTGAAGAAGTTTAAGCCAATCATCGTAGAGAAGCAGAGAAAAAACAGAGCTAACTATCCTGCCTAACCCATAGCATAACCCCCCTGCTTCGTCATGCCCCCCGCTCCTCTCTCTGGTTCGCCACTCGCTGCTGTTCTGGTATGGTAAATTGTGTGTGTGTGTGTGTGTGTGTGTGTGTGTGTAATTTTCCATCCAGTATATGGGGAGATTACAGCGTGAAAAGCAATGGAGTTGCAAAAGGCCGCGAAAAAACGCAGCACAAGTGCTACTCAAATTTTTTTGACAAGGTTGGCAGGTCTGCAATAGGTCTGTACCTAGTTTATACTTCTCCGTCAGCAAATTTGCACTCACAAACACGCGTATGGACGAAGACATTTTCCTTCACTACTTCTCTGTAGGGGTGTCAGCGTTGCTAAGCAATTGTCCACCAGGGCAGCAGGGGGCGTAGACCTTTTCTGGCGGGTCTGCCTACCATTGCAGCTTCAGTTTCTAAATGCCATAACTTGAAGACGGTGTGACTTTGAATAGAAATTTTAGATTTGTGTTGATATTAGAATTTGTTATTACTCTAATTTAGTTTCATAAAGTTTGAAAATAAAAAAGTTTGTCAACACCAATCCACTCAAGGAGCAATGGCCGACATGGAGTGAGTTTTATTCGAGCTGAAATGGCTCGTTCTCGAGGAACAAAAAATTTGGTTATAAAAAATTCTACAGGAGCAAAGGAGACCTCGGCGGAATGTCCGTCTCTTTTATGGAGCTGACCAATCACAGACGTGTATTCTCCATGGCGTTTAAAGGATGGTAAAAGAACTGGACTCTACCATGTCCGTGCTTGCGTCAACGAATAATGTTGTCTCTGCACCTCCGCAGATGGAGAAGTATAAACTCTGAGATGTCCGGCTTCCTGTACTGGAGTTTATACCTGGAATCTTGAATAATATCACTTTTGAGATATATTTTCAAGTAAAGACTAACTTGGTTTTGTTGCTTGGTACATGCATGTTGCATAGCTGTCGAGCATGCTGCGTTGGCTGGGAAAATAACGGTATTTTACCCATTTCCTGTTGTCTTCCCATATTATTTCTCCGTAAATTCCCCACATTCTGATCAGCCTTAAGCCACAGTTCGGTACTGGTTGAATTTAACAAAAAAAAGCCTTCTTTCATTAGCTTTTTCAATGTAATATGTCCAAAAGTCCCATTTTAAATGGTCTTTTTGTCAAACTGAAATGTCAGCGTCTCAGTTGGGCTAATTCTAGTGTGGAAAATGCCACTGAAGGTTTTGGAAAGCACACACTGAATAACATAGCAGCTTGCCACACATGCAGCGTGGTGCTCCTCAACGCTGCTGCAGATGGACCAGAAAAGGTGAATTTGAAACAAACCATCAGATGTTCTGTGTGCTATCAGTGTCTGTTCGTGTAGAGAACTGTCAACCGGATTCACCTGTGAGCCTTTCTCAGCAAATTGAAGGTAAATAAAACATGCATGCGTTTATAGGTGGGCGTGGCCATCAGCTGTACATAAAATTGCACTTGTCGTGCATTTTTATGTACAGCTGCACCAAACTGAACAAAATCTCATGTTTTAGAGGTTTTGGGTGAATTTTGCTGAAATTCTCATTCGTTAGACGACTTTCTTTCTCACACACACTCACCCACACTCTGAAATGTTGGGAGATCCCTCAGTGCTGTGGGCATCGTCATCGCCATCATCGGTCGTCTTCGTGCCCACCGGGTATTTGCAACGGGACTGTGAGCGTGACTGTCCACAGGCCTCTGAGCTGGGCCCCGGCCCCAGCTCTGGCCCTGAGCTGCAGGTCTGGGGGATGGTGTACACCTTGGAGGAGTCAGCAGACACACAGTACCTGGCACCGCGGGCCAGAGGACTGCCAGAATGGTGTGAGCCACTGATCAAACAGCAAACATAAAGCAAAACGTAACTCAAAAGTGGCAGAAACCATAAAAGGAAATTTAAAATGAAACATGAAAATAAAAATGGCTGCTAGAAAAGAGAATGATATCAAATGCATGGATTAAACCTAAATGGACGTTTCATGAGTGGCCCTGCTTTTGGCTTTGGCAGGAAGACACGCCCCCTCTTTGCCACGTGTGTTCCAGCTACTTCCCCTTTAACCTTCTTCAGCTGACGACTCCGTTTCACCACGCGAGCATTTCTGTGAACTTTTGTCCTTTTCAATACCTTGTCAAATATCAAACGACACACCGCATTTCTGCTTCAGCGTCTCGAAACCTCACTTCCTCTCAGACATCTGTGGCTGTGACCCTGCTGATTTGTGGCTCTTCAACTGTAAGAAGTAAAAGAACTGCACATCTCTAAACACGTAAGGAGCTGGTTTTAGTTTCCTATCAGGACGAACTCCTCCTTTTGTTCAGTAACGTCCTAGAATGTCAGGTTTTAGATGATAACTGCTCTCAGAATCTCACGTCTGCTGGAGTTTGCTTTGATTCATTTAGTCGACATCATAAGGGAGGACAGTTTGAGTTTCAGGTTTCCTGGCTGCTCAGGATTCCTTCACTTAGCTGCTCACATTAACTCCAGATTCACTGCAGATAAACTCCACGAAGGTCTATGTTCACTGCAGGAATGGTGTTGTTTGTGAGATGTTTCAACGTGGATGAAACATTCGATTAAATGACCACATATGTCAGAATCAAACAGAAAAGATAACCCCGTATTCATGAATATCTGGGCCATGACTAATGCTGTCAAGGAACATTATATTAAACTGTCTGATGTCATTAAAGAGCAACCATCAAAGTGTCGTATTACCATCAAGTTCTTAATTCTGTCACAAGTTCTTTTATCTGTTTAATGCCTCTAAGCTCTGGGGGACAAAAACATATTTGCAAATTCTACGTTAAAACACGCACTTCAAATGGATTTGGTACGCTATGATTTCTAGCAATAGTGCGTCAAATGGTGCAGACAAAATTTACCAACTTCAAGACACTTTGTCACAAACAACAACAATTACTTGCAAATATTTTGAAAAGAAACTCTCGGCACACCAAAAACTTTGCCAGTACAAATACAATTTATATTTCAAAATATAGACATTTTTTCTTCCAGCTGCTCAGGCTCTCATTGCCGTAGGTCTTATGGCTTCTCTTAAAGGTGTTCTAGAATTACATTTTTTACTACTTGAAACTGTTTTTTGAGCCTTTACGTGGCAAATTAAACATTGTTGGTGCTCAAAATGACCCTGGAGCCCTGATAAATGGCCAATTTACACATGTAAAGATGGATTTGCCACGCCCCCTCATCCAGCACCGGAATGTTAAATGAGCTGTGTGCTGATTGGTCGGGTTAGGGTATTGCCTGAAGCTAGCGATAGATAACTCGTTAGGCAGGCTATGGATCTATTCGCTCGGCCAGCCAGGCCAGTGCTTCCTTATGGGAATCAAAAGGCCTCCCATTCAAACAACCCCACCCCCTGAAAATTCTGACGGAGCCAATCAGCCCTGAGCAGCATACATCACACACCGCCACGCTCAGTTTCTCATAAACAACTAAGACGGCGCCTGAAACGGAATTCGCTACGGCTCTTTCCTCTGTTCTAAATGACTCGGACACGTCTTTAAAACCACAACAAACAGAAGCGCTAAAAGCCTTTCCTTTAAAGAAAACGTGTTCTCTGTCCCTAAACGCCACCTTTGACTACAAATAAAAAACTACAGAGTCGTGAGATCCAGCTGTCATTTCCGCCTTTTCGCTCGTCCTCTGTGTAGAATAGAGAGAGGCCGAGCCTGGCAGGCCGGTGTCGGTACAGGATCTGCTCGGGTGCAAAATTGGCTCAGGGTCCGTCGACTGCCGATGACGTCTAAGTAGTTGATTGGCTGAACATGAACCTCACGGAATTACGTAATCACGTTACGTTGTTATCACGTTACGTTGGACCAGGCAAATCTTTCTATTGGAAAGATGGACAACTTTTACAAAGAAATCCATCATTACCTCTTTGAAAATACACTTTTAGCATAGAGCTGCAAGTATATTAGGGCTGAACGATTAACTGCATGTGCAATTAAATTGCGATGTGACAAAAGGAGATTTTCTAATCTCAAAGGCTGCAATTTGGCAGCGAGTGGTTAGCGCAATGCTAATATACATGGAAAAACCCATAGGAATGCTAATGCTAATATCGCCGATTACATTATTGCAAATTATGAATTAGAAACGTGCCAAATGATTACATTTGGAGTCTAATAGAAAGTAAAACTACCATCAATCAAATAAGTACAGACAGGTATTTTAGTAAAGCCAGAAAACTTTTAACTCCAGAGTTTTGGCTAGCAGCTATGAGCGTACCTGAACTACTCATGGACAAGACGTCAAAAACTCTAAACACAAAATACTTAAATAAACGGGACACACTTCTTTCCTGCAAATACAATTTCACAGGTGTTGCTAATACCTATGATCCTTCAAGGGATGTGCTCAAAGAGGAGTTCAACATTATGAATAATATAGTGTTTTATTTTACAAATACCATTATAAACACAAACTTACGTCTTAAGAAACATTATTTCAATAATGAAACTGCTAAATTCTTTCCAACAGTATAGATGTGTAGTGTATTTTGTCCGAGTCGGTTTGCTGTACTTTGACGTCATCGGCAGTCGAAGGACCCCGAGCCGATCTTGCACCCGAGCAGATCCTGTACCGACACCGGGCTGAGGATCTATCTGGCATTCATTCAAACCTCGGAATACCACACACACCCTGGAACGTTACACGTGTTCTCTGAGGTTTTCCTCTCGTCCGACAAGGACATTAAAAGTAGCTCGTGTTAGCATTAGCAGCAGCTCAGGCTAGCATTGTTCTGCAGTTAGCATTACAGCCACCAACATTTATATAACGCCAATGTTGAAGTGAGCTGGGGCATGCAAATGTAAGGGTGTGTGTCTATGCCGATGACGTGTTAAACCAGCTGTTCTGGGAACAAGCCGCCTCTCTGTGGTCATTACGATATTACAAGTTTACATAGATGGCAGGTCAGAGACGACAGACATTTTACTGCATTAGACGCCCCAAGCTGCCTTTATTCAACAACAAGGTAAGTGCAGTTTTGAATTAAATACCCTCAGATGCAGAGGGCACACGTTACGTTTCCTCTGACTTATTTCAGGTCTGATTATTATCTTCACAATGAAATAAGAGACACAGGTCTGTGGTTACCATAGAAACGTTAATGAGCCACTGCGCTGGATTGTTCTGAAGCTTCAAACAGAATCTGATAGAACAAACAAATCATTCATAACGGCAGTGAGTGGCAGCAGAGTGCAAACCAGGCTGAAAGCTGCTTCGCCCACTGGCTGCAGGACAACTGGGAGAACTGGGTGATGGCCCAGCGCTCGGTGAGCCTGAGCAGGTGAGAAGGTCAGTAAACAAGCACAGCCCTCCACCCGTGCACTTGATTGTAAATAGATAATGGAGCGAGGAGTTTGGCAGCAGAACTGTGTGTCTTTGTGTCCTCGCGCGTTCCAGCCCAGTGGATTTAGCTACGAGCCATGTGCCACAACAAAGGGTGTGGTGTTCTAAAGCAGCCAAATCAATCCAGTGACCCAAGAAGAGTTGATCCAGAGCAGGACCAAGCATTTACCTAGCAATGCTGCATAAAAACAGAGCCAGAGTGCAGGCGTTTGTTGGAAATAATAATCAACTTCGTCCTGTGCTCTAATTGGACATTTCAAACAAGCTTCCAGAGATTTCTTCGTAACCTTTGTGATGTTCCTGCAGGAGAAATTCTTACCAAAAAAAATACTCTCAGACACAACAAAACACTCGATTATAAACAAATACCTGGACTGTACCTTGAATGGGACGAGATCTCGCTCAGGTCGCCAATGCTGCCCTCCGTCACATGACCCGACATGATGGCTGAGGGGAAGCTTTGCTGCAAATACATCTTCCCATGATCCTCCTCTGTCATGCCGTCCTCATGGTGCTCCGAAACCCACTGGTGTCCCTGCTCCCCCGCCCGGCCCTGCAGCAGCACCCGGGTACCAGGGGGCACGCAGGGATTAGTGTCTATGCCGCTGTCCGTGGAGGCCCCTTTGATGTACGTGAGGCCCAGCATCTCCGGGTCCATCAGGTCTCCGGAGCCAAAGTGCTTATCGTCGCTGTTGCTGGAGGCGTTGCTCGAAAGCGTATTGCTACTTGAGTGGCTTGAGTTTTTGTCGCCCATCTGGTACAGAAAAGGTTGAGAAAAGGAGAAAGACAGACAGAAACTAAAATGAGGTTCAAATAGCAGCTGCAGATATTTCGGACAGTCGTTTCAGCATGATTGCTGCACCAGGCGAGGCGGGGGGGGGGGGGGGGGGGGGGGGGTGTTACCCACTGGACTACATCATGTTTGTGTGTCTAACGAATGAAACAGCTTGTTTTTGTGAGGTCCGATACACCCTTATAATGGCTGATAAAAGAATTTAAAGGTGTGGATCCTTCGTTTAATCAATACATTTGCTGTGGTCTATAGTAGGAACTAGGGATGTGTATTGGTGAAATTCTGGCAATACAATAGGCATCATGATACGGGGGAGACGATACGATATACCACGATATATCACGATACATTCAGCCAGACAATAGTAGCGATTTTTTTAGACTGAATCTATTGTAGGAAATTTCAATTAACTGCCCAAACTGATACTTAATGTTTATCGTGATGTATCTGAACCATAATAAAGAGATTTACATTTCAATAGTGGAAACAAAGCCCACTGCACACTGCTGCCAACTAGAAGTCGGTGTTTGAATTGCACCAAAGGAAATGAAAATACACAAATGTTTGCATGTGAATTCTTCCCAAAATTCGATACACGGCTTTTGAATATCGATATAATATTGCAGGAAACAATATCACGATATATTGCCATATCGATATTTTCTTACATCCCTAGTAGGAACGAATGCCTTGTGAGTCGTACGCTGGGGAAACAAAACTCTGGTGCACCCCTGTCAGGAACTGGAGGCGAGCCACATCAGGGCTGAGCTTCAGGTGGCAGGATTCCTGACTTTTGGACATCTCATTTCTGATTGGCTAACAGCAATGCAACACCACAACTGACTTCATTTGCTCTGCAACGTTGAGGTTTTATCTCCACAATTAACACAAGCTGGAGGAGTTGAGCTGTGTGGTGGAGTTGCTAATGCTAATGGTTAGCTTCCACTAGCCGAGACGTTCTCTGCAGTTTCCCGGACGCTAAACAAAAACAGCCTTCCTCGTTGCGAGCCAAGATGGGCGAGTCCGTGATTGCTGAGACAGTGTGATGTAGATCTGGCGGGCTTTTCACATCCGAGATTTTCACCATCTATTTTCTATCAGAGCTAATGCAGCACATAGGTGTAGGAGACTATTTACGCCAGGCTGCATGAAACAGAGCGACCCATTATAATCAGAAATAATAAATGTTTAACTTTATTCCAAGGTGGTCTCTTCCTAAGGTGGTTTATTCTAAGTGACTAAGCAAAGAAGGATTATAAACTACGTAGGACTGACCTGCTTACTTCATTATACTCAACACTGCAAAAGGGTGCAAACGAAATAGCTTCAGACATGCCTCGTCACCCCGTTGCACTACAGACGTACGCTGCCAAGAGCATGGTTTCATGTTTTATCCTCAATCCTGAGCGAACACAACCGTAGGCTTAAAGCATGAAGTGGAGGTTCTGGGTGAGACCTCATAGCCGTTAGCACCAAGACACAATGTTGAACACAAAGAGTGGAGATTTAGAGAACCATAATTTTAAGGTAAATCAGAAACTAGGGAGAAAATATAATCTTTTATTTGTAATTTTAACTTGTTCTTATATTTTAACCCCAAAAGAGGAACATCATCTCTGGTCCTTATTCACTAGATTTACTCATAAACCAAGACTCCTTTCTCATAATGGAAGGCTTAAGCCCCCTTCAGACAGGCCATGAAAAACGGAAATGTTCCGGACTCGGTCCGTAAGACCTTTGTGTCTGAACACAAACATCCGGATAACCTTTTCCGTAATTAAACCGGACGACGCCCCTAGTAACAGGTCCGGACTTGTCACGGACAGGGTGGCTGCTTCAGACTGGTGAGGTCGAGTGCCGGACAGGGAGGAGGGGGAGGAGGAGGGGACCGGGGGACGCTGTGCGCACCTAGATAGCTCGCTGCTGTAGCATGCGGCGAACCACGGCAGCTCGCCTCCTACGGTACCGCCTCCTAGACGTGCTTCACACCGCTTCCGTGATTCCTTTAACCATCGAGCTTCATCATCCAGGTCTCTTATGCATCATCAGAATTATGCTCAACATCAGAGAGAGGAGTTCTATCTCTTCGTCGGCCATGTTTGACTGTCTTTGTTTGTTTGGGTAAACGACGCATGCACGCCCGCCGCACCATGTTTACGCACCATCCGGGCACAGCCTTCCCACCCCCTCCCCCTCGGACATCTGGAACTTTTCCCTGCTGTGGGAAGGCAGCCGAAAGGACAAGTTCAGGTACACAAGTGGCGTGTCTGAAAACACAGTTCTGGGTAAAAACCGGACTGGATTGTCCACACATGTTCCAGAATGTCAATCTGAAAAGGGTTTTAGTCTAGGATAACAAAACTTCCACCCTTTTTAGAGACCCCGACCTCAGACGAGTGAAAGCAGCATCGCCTGGAGCGGGTGTGACCCTCGGTTACAGGGCTTTGCATCCGTATCCCAGGTTACCCTCGGCCACAGCCGAGTGGAGTCCAGGATTTCTCCTTGGCCAACACTTTTCACTGGACTCAGATCCGAGTGGTAAGTCCTGAGGGCAGTGCCCACTTTTATTTATAAAGTCTGGCATGGCTGCTCTCACGCGGTTGTAAAGGACTTGCGAGCTGAATCTTCGCTTGATTACATTTATTTAGCGTATACCACATAATTATGAACCTCACTTACATCTGCACTGTTTAAAAATGGAATTCACAATATCAACTTCCGTATTATTGAGGTTCTTTTTTAAAACGTTTTTCTAATTTTTCAATATCCCTGTGCTTTATGGATTTTTAGCTGTTAGTTTTGGGAATTTTGTTGTATTTCCTTTTTATCTTTTATCTGTGTTCGACATGATTGTATAACGCCGGTTTAATTAACTTAAATTTTTAGTGTACAGCGCCTTGTTTGGTTGTAATGCCTTGTTGAATGCGCTTTATAAATAAAATTGGATTGGATTGGATAGTCAAGGGGTCGCCACCTGTTGGATCACATATAAATGCTTTAAATGCGACGCGCCGATCGTTGCTCTGACTTTCCAGTTAAAATTAAAAGAGGATCTGACGGAAATAGAATAAGTAAGAAGAATAGAAAGGCAGAGGTGTAGCTTTAGAAGAGAAACCTTTAATCCCGGAGTGAGATTAATAACGTCTCTAAAAGTGAACCTACATCTTTCACTACACTTTGAAACAAATCAGAACCGGCGAAAATCTGCATGTAAGGGTAACTTCAATTATAACTGTGAGTAAGATGATGCTAAAATTATAAAATGTGTTTTTTAAGCTAAATTTGCCTTCAGATAACCATAAAGGGTGCAGAGATTCGCTCCCTGTTAGCAAGCTAATGCTAGGAGTGTCAGTGTAACTCGTGGTTGCTGGCAAGCTCCCAAACAGGTGTGATGTTTGCACATGTCCAAATTAAACACAGCGAAAGAGCAAAACAGGTCCTGAGGTGTGAAGATAACACTCTCCACGCGTATCGTCTCATTAGAGGCTGCTTCGACAAACACGACTTTCATTTTGAGCCTTTCCAAAAACTTTGATTAAATGTCAGGCCGACAAAAAAAAAAAGCCTAACTGGCAGCTCGAGTCAACTGAAATGACAGCAGAGCAGAGATTTACCCTGGACAGCTTGTTTGGAGAGTCCTTCCCTCCTTCTCTCTGCTTCAGAGGGTTGAGGATCTTGGTGGAGGGGATGTGCCATTTGGCCTCTGCAGACACCCGAGAGAGCAAATGGGCCGTTAGGACGCAGCGACGGGTAGAAAAGACATCAGTCACGAGAAACCCACTCACCTGCAGATCTGGTCCTCTCCAGTGTAGGTTCCCTGTCCCTGCGGATGTCTCCGTCCCCTCCCTGCATGTCCCCCACCTGCTCATGTAGGATTGGAGACGGACACCTGGTGGGAGAAAAGGAGCAGAAAAACATACTGAAGTTAGTTTTTTCCTTGTTGTTTCACAGATTTACAGTAATGAGCTCAACTTTCTCACTTGAGCTTAGAATAGAATAAAGAAGCTGCCGGGAATCAGGAGCAAAGAGCCAGAGTTTCATTTGATTTAAGATGCAAGGCTCTTTTTTCACTTTTGAAAGAAAGAAAAAAAAAACAGCAGCCATCTTTTCAACGACGGATCTAATTAAAGTAGCAAGAGCGGACAAGTGTTGCAGCAGCAGAACAGACGCTGCAGCGTTTGTTCTCTTTCACCAAGGCTCCAAATGGAGAGCCACTGTGTGGCCAGTAGTTCTGCTGTGAGGTGAGGCTGGTCTGACGGGCTGCGCTGGCTTTCAGGAGTTCGGAACGCTTCTGAGCCCTCGGAAGGGACAGCATCAGCGGGAAGCTCCGGCTCTCGTCAGTGTCTGTTACCATTTACACACAGGAGAGGATCTCGTATGGAGTCTACTCAGCGTCGCATGCTCTGCCTGCAGTCTGCAGGATCTGTTGCCATGCAATCTGCTCTGTGTGTGTGTGTGTGTGTAATATTTAGGAGGGGGGATGAGTGGAAATTACGATAAAAGAGAAGGTGTGATAACAACACTTGTCCTAACAGATGCTACGAATCCTGAGAACAGACAAAGGCAGAGCGTTAAAAAAATCCCAATTAAAATTTTTTGTCTGGATTTGTAAAAGCTAAAGGCCGCGTGTGCAAACCTGAGGTAGAAGTTATGTTCTCGTGAAGAAAATGTTCAAATTAAAATACTTTAAAGAGCAAGTCACCCCCAAATAAACTTTTTTTTGCTGATAAACTAAACAAACGAGTGTCTAATCGTGCTGCAGACACGTGTCGTCAATAATTTGGCACTTCAGTGCATCTTAGTTAAAATTTAAATATTCTGCCTAAAACTGTCAGTGTTGTGCCGTTGTCAGGTAAAAACTCTGCACTGCATTTGAATTTAAATCTGCCATCGCTATTGGCTAAGAGGTATGCTATGATGTAAACTGGTACATTATGATGTCACAATGCTGTCGTGAGCCTGAGTGTGTGTGTATTTGTTAGCGGCTCCGCCCTCTCGGTCTGCCAGGCAACAGCATGTGTTGCATTTTTCAAACAGGAAGTGGGAGTGGACTTAGACTCTGGTAGGGGGTGACTTGCTCTTTAAAATAAATGTAAAAAAAAAAAAAGAGTAAATGAAGCTCAGTACCTTCATTTTTTTAATAAAGGTAAATAATAGTGGACATGATGTTATTGTTAGATTATTTCCTGTAAAAAAGAGAAATAAAAAACGTGTGACGACAAAAGTGCGCTGATGATCTGGTTATTTCTTGCAGAAAAATTGCAGTCGTTTTGGAAAATTGCAAGGTCTGAGAAACGGTGCCAGGGCTGATTGTGGCTGCATTTATTAAAAAAAAAAAGTATATCACAAAGGTGCTAAATGTAAGGAATAGTGAGTCATCTTTGGCTCTGTACCCGTCATATCCAGGCTGCTGTGACCAGTTGCTGCTGCCGCACGGTCCCGGATCGCTGGAGGAGGACTGGTTGCTGGGGGAGCTGCGGTAGTGCTGGTCTCCCTTGTTACATATGGTGACCTGAGGATTTTCCATGTCCTGCATCGTCCTGGAGAAACAAGTTGACAGATTTAAAACTCACATCAGATCATGAATCAGATTTCTTCATTTCTGCACACACAAGAACAGAGAAAATAAGTAAAACAAGCAACCAAAGTCCAACAGTTGCTGATTGCTGCCTAAGTTCACATTAACAACTACGAGAAATTCAGCTTTTTTTGGACAACAAATTAGAAAATTAGGGCGGTTTCTACAGCGCATCTCATAATGTCCCACTGAACTTGAACTGATCATTTTTTCAAGCCAGTTTATAAAACCTTGGCTAAATTAAATCTGCGACTGCAGAGGCTGAAATTTCTGAAGCTTGAAAAACGTATTACCCCCACATTAACAACACTATTATGGGGGCTGCATGGTGGAACAGTGGTTAGCACTGTTGCCTCGCAACACGAAGGTCGCAGGTTCGAAACTCGGCTGCGGCCTTTCTGCGTGGAGTTGCGTGTTCTCCCCATGCATGCGTGGGTTTTCTCCGGGTACTCCGGTTTCCCCCACAGATCACAACATGCCCGATAGGTAAAAAAAAAAAAAAAGAAAAATTGTAAGTCGCTTTGGGTAAAAGCGTCTGCTAAGCACATAAAACATAAACAACATAAACTATTATTGGGTGTCACAGCAGAAAATAGTCCCTCGCGTTTGAGCACCGTGCATAATCTCCATAGAAAATGTAAGCTGTCAGTGAGGTAGAAGGCGTCTTGTTCTCCAAAGACAAACAGAAATGAGATTAGGTATGGTCGATAGTTGCAGCCAGTAATCCAGACGGTGACTATTTATGCAGCTTATGAAAATGTTTTTGCTTTGGAGTGAACCACGAATATATATCCACTTAACAAAGTTGACCATTAATTCACCTGAAGCGATTTTAAAGTCCAATCTTTCCTGAACTTAGCTAAAATTTACAAAAAGAACAAATAATTCTATAGGGACAGAGAAAAGCATCTGAAAAGCCTGGAGGCAAACATCAGCAGAGGCTTTCAGATTCGCCCTTCCTTTGTCTCCTTCATCACCTGCAGCCAAAAGGCAAACCGGTCCATCCCTCATCAACTACTGGGACAGATTTGAACGAAACGCTCAAGAAAGCAATCATTGGATGTGCTGCATATACAACCGAGCATCTTTTTGGGAGTGGAGTAGACGCAAAAAAAAAAGAAAAATGGCCGCCACTGCTAACCGACAAAAAATGGCTTTAAATTTGTCAGTTTTATGTTTATGTTTATTTATTTAGCAGACGCTTTTATCCAAAGCGACTTACAGTTTATAACCTGTAGGGCATGTTGTGATCTGCGGGGGGAACCGGAGTACCCGGAGGAAACCCACGCATGCACGGGGAGAACACGCAACTCCACGCAGAAAGGCCACAGCTGGGTTTCGAACCTGCGACCTTCGTGTTGCGAGGCAACAGTGCTAACCACTGCTCCACCATGCAGCCCAGTTTTACAGATACTGAGCGACTTTTTGGTGCTTTGATAGTTGAGAGTAATTTATTGACACAAAGTCAAAGAGATAATTGAATGTGTGAAATTTCCAACTTAGGGATTAAAGGTGCGGTTCACTGAAAAAACATTTTTAATGATTATTTCTGATTTCTAACGGGTCACTCTGAGTTTTCCATGCAGGCTGAGCATGAAAGTAGAGGAAAATTGTAGATTATTCACAAACTGGCACATTATTTCTGCATTGCCATGAGCAATTTGTTGTGTAGACCTTAATGGGAAACCAATCTGTCAAAGTTAAATCCCTGCTGAGGTCATCAAACGCGGTGGCTACAATGCAATACTTCCTCTCCTCGGCCATGTCCAGGCACTTTCATTTCAAACAGCAGCATCTGCTTTTAGTTTTTTTTTCCTTGACAAGAAAAGTCTGAGTGGAGAGATAGCATGGTCTCAATTTGTATTTTATGTAGTGCAGAGCCCGGAGTTTACCATATGTGTGGTTGTGAGGGCCCCACCTCCTAAATCTGACCACCTGCCAATTTGTATTACAATTCTACATATTTCAGCCAATGGATATGAGCACATTACCCCTATTTTCACTCCCCTGTTCACTGTATAACGAGCTTTAAAGAGCTTTTGATGGCCTATGGCCTCACCCTGTCTTAGCTCTCTGAGCTGCTACAGCCTTTTACTCCCTCCTGTTCTCGCTGGTCAACTGTTTCTAACTTACTTGTCCACGAGACAGGTCACCAACTCTGCATCTGTCTAGGGACGTCCCGCTCTGTGACTGACATCTGTCTGTAAGCGAATTTCCAACGCTATTGGCTAATGCTGAATGGCGGTCAGTTCAAATTATGTAGGTTCTACGAGATACGCATAGCAAAAAACAAACAAAAAGATGTATTTTCACCATAACATCACAATACAAAGAAACACTATCACTTTTATGGATTTCTAAAAAACATCAAACATGAATCGGTTTTAGGGCTGCAGCTATTTTTGTAATCGAGTACTCTATCGAATCTTTTATCGATTAATCGAGTACTCTATCGAATCTTTTATCGATTAATCGAGTACTCTATCGAATCTTTTACCGATTAATCGAGTACTCTAATAAATGACCCTTTTGCGTTTTTAAACCATTATATCAAATAGCATGCTATAAAATATGAAAGACCTCTTAAAATGAGCAAGCAATTGCCAGTTATTCTTCAAGTTTTATTCAAATTTAGTTGTCAAAACTTCAGCACTTCAACTTTACTTCACAGTAAGCAAATGCGAGCGGCTGCGGCCCAAACAGCACCAGAACCGCTCACGGCGCATGCGCAAACATAGCTCGCCAGCTGTTTCCCTATTAACACACGTCCGTTTTAATTTCTACACTTTTTTTTCTCACACTAACAAGGATTGTCGAGAAAGCATGTTTGCCGTGGTTATGTCAAATTATACTGATCACAAAACTTTTATTTACTTTCTTTCGTTTTCGTCCGCCACTCTAAATACCAGTGTCCTCCTGCAGCAATCCCGAGGGACAACAGACATCAATAATAACACAGTAAAAAGTCTGACGTGTTGTGTAAAAACTATTTTTAGCACATTTTAAGTCCGACGTGCTGCTACCAGACGTACAGTGGGAGCTGAAACTGAGTGCTACAAACGAAAAAGTCGCACAGTGTCCGCAGAATATATAGAAATAAAGACTAAAATGCATTATCTTGTAGAGGCTCCGAGTCCGCTTGTAGAAGTGACATTTACATGTGGATGTTTGCTGGTCAGGTGCTGCAGCATGGAGGACGTGGTGTTGTGGTAGGCTAAATCCATTTTACAGTATTTACACTGGACTACGTTTTCCGCCTTACGACGTGAAAAATGGTCCCACACCTTTGACATTTTCTGTCTTTTTCACTCCACCGGGGTCCACGTTGTTCGCCATGGCTTAAGAGAAAGTTAAGTTACATTCGCTACTCGCGTGTGCATTCAGTGCAGTGTGTATGTGCGTCACTTATTTCGGTCCGGGTGAAACACGACCCCGGGCGATTGCAAAGCCATGAATTAATTAAACATGAATTAAATGAAGCCTCGAGGCAGAGAATTTGACTCGAAGATTTTTTTGTAGTCGAATTATTCGAGGTACTCGAGGAATCGTTTCAGCCCTAATCAGTTTTGTGGCTCAGTTTACACAGCAGGAAAATTATGCAGAATTTTGACCTGATTCTCCACTTTTAACTAACTTGCGGACATGCCCAATTGTCGTAATGGCTCTAAGGATGATCTTATCAGATATTCCTGCTGTGTGTGATGTGTTAAGAGAGCTCTGGTCTTCTCGGAAGCACATGGTCAGCTCCCATAATAAATCCGGGCTTTCAAAGACGTTGGATTGCTTTGGCTTGATTTTCAAAGACAAACAAGTGTACTGCTTGCAGAATGTGACATTTAGCCAATCAGTAGGCGAGGTGATGGGAGTGCACTGCATGCTGCTTTTCTTCTGCCATGTTTTTTTCTTCATTATCACATTTGATTTAGCAAGATTTCCCATCCAATCGGGGACTGTTTGTGAGTGAAATCAGTTTGTGTGGTTGTCGCCGTGTTTCTGGACACCACACACGGCAGGACCAGAACTCCAATATCCATGATTTTTCCATCACCACCTGTTGGGTCGTTTGTTTTTTTTTAAATTGTTCGATGATTTAAAAATGGTGTTGCGTGAACCATGCTCAGGGTGCTTTAAAAAGTTGGATGTGTCACCCTCACAATGATAATATGTCAGTTAAATATGTCATTTGAACACACATCCATGTAATTCAAGCCTGTAGAATAAGTCCGTATAATACACGCCTCCTTTCTCCCTCTTGACTCCTTCACATCCCCTCTTCTATTAACACTCCCTCTTGGGTGCTACACATCGTGGTCCAGGGAAGAGCGCCGTCTTTGTTTCGGCAGTAATTGGATGTGATGAGTCGAGCCGTGTCGGTGTCCCTATCACCTCCTCCTCCTCCTCCGTGGGGTGCAGAAAGCGGGAGGGTGGAGCGGAGCAGGGGCGACAAGAAGAGTAAGAAAGAGAACACTTCCAGAGCCTCTGATTAGGGCGGCCATTATCCAAGTATATTCAGAGAACAGGAAACACCGGGGGGGTGGTGGGGGGAGTGACACTGGAAAGGTTATCATGGCTGCAGGGGGTTTCATTAGAGTGAACAAATCGCTGCTTTACATGGCTCAATGGAGATGTCCAAAGGAGAGAGGGACTGGGACGAGAACAAAGTGCAAGTCTGGCCTGATCATCTGGAGGAAGATGAAAGCAAGGCTATGAATTCATTTGACTAAAATTCTCCATTTATATGTATGCAGATAACAGGACACAATAACAGCTCCTCAAAGTGTTCCTGTTGCTGGTTTTTCTCCACGCAGGGAAAAAAAAACGATGAGCTCTTTGGAGCTTCAGGAAATCGGATCACAACTATCACAAGAACCATTCACCACCAGAAAGCCTTTCAATGAACTAGATTTAACATTTACTCTTTTGTTAACGCTTTTCTGTCTTTATTTTAGTGTGAAATGTGCATTTTACGCTTTCTTAGTTCACATCCAAAGAGGTATCTAATTAGAGTTAAAAGTTGTCATGTGGACAGGTGATGGCTTATGCTTCAGTGGTTTTCATTGGTTAGACAACTAAAAAGTGCTCCAAGTGTCAGTCCCCACAGAAAGGTCGAAGCAGCCCTCAAAGCAATTAAAGCAAGCCACAAACAAAGAAATGTTAAAACAACAACTAGCTTGACTTTCTCTTCCAGCAGTACTTCAAAATTAGGAAGATTCCCACTCAAACTGCTGCAGAATAACTTCTAGACGCTCCCTTTGCCATCTTTTATCAGGATGTTGAAAGAAAATTCTGCTTAGTTCCCAAATTCTGCCAAAAGAGTTCTGATAAGGAGAAGCGCTCATTTTTCAAAACTTTCCTTTCTGACAGCTCGGGCTATCCTGGCTCATCCCTTTAGTTATACTGTTAAGACCACCGAAGGTCATACTGAGCACAGTTCGTTACTCTTGTTGTTTCTTTACTCTCTTTATTGCTACTTATGAACTTTCTCTGTATTTTTACCAGAAGTGACGGCTGGTCCAGCCCTTCTGTTTTTGTCTGGGTTTATATCCGTCCTCTCAGACGCCAGTCAGAGGGCACCAATCCTGAGCATAGTTCGGAATCTGCCGGAGGTATCCCACTGTTAAAAGGGAGTTTTCCTACCCATGGTACCACACTAGCTCTCGATGCGGGGATTGTGTTGAAGCGAGACTTGATGAAATGTGCTGTTTTCCTTTGATAGGGGTAATATTCTAATAATGGCCATTTTATAATCTATTAACTCGTTCACTGCCATTGACGAATAAAGTCGTCATTTGCATTTTTTAACCCTAACCCTAACCCTAACTCCATCTACTCCACCTAACCCCAACTGGACTGTTGCTTTGAGATGAAAGGTGAGTGTAATTCACTACAGAAGATATCAGTGGTGGATGTGTAAAGGTTCCTCTTCAGTGGAGGAAATATCACAACATGCAGACAACTGAAAACCTCCCAAAGCAAAGTGAGAGAATTCCTCAGGAGGAAAGTCAGCGAAGGAAATAAAGTACCTGGAGCCATCCGGCAGCTTCCTATCAAAAGAGGTGCTTCGCGGGATCGCTGCCTGGTGCTGCTGGAGGATCTGCTGGCACTGCAGACGGTCTGGACCCTGTGTGGGCGAGCCCCGGGACAGAGGTGTGCCAGCAGCTGCAGGCACCCGGTGCCAGGTTGTGTTTCTCCTGAAGGGCGTCTTATACTCACAGGGCGTACCCTCGCTGTCCACCTTGTACTCCACCATCGGTATCCGGTAGAGCTCTGAGCAACCCCTGAGTGGACGGTCGAGAAGTACACAATGAGAGGGTTAGTTCCAGGTATTTTAAACGTTTGTGTCACTGTTCCTTCAGGACGACACACAGATGCTTTAGATCTTTCAGCCTGAAGCGGATATCCAAATATACACGAGCCTGTGTGCTTACAACGTCTGCCAATAAAAGGTAAACGCATACGCTTGTGCAAACAGAGGCCCTAAGGCACATCAGATGTGCATTTAGAGGATTTTAGGGAGATCTTACCTGGCTTTCCCACTCCACACAAGCAGCCGTTTGTCACTCGGTCTCCACATTATCACTGCTAACACTGAAGATATCTCAGAAGAGAAGGCCTGTGATGCCATTTCATGGCACATTAATCTTCAGGCCTCAGCAGAGGCATGAGGAGTATTTTTGAAAAGAAGGTGGGTTTACTGGGCGGTGGGTTAGGGGTTAAACAGCTCTGCTGCTGGCTCTCTAATATGATCTCAAGCATGACCCAAATGATTACACCGCCCTCCCCCGCCTTCGTGCATTTTCCAGAATCCAGTGGAGGATGGAAAGCTCTGTGTACTCCGTTGTGGTCATACGTGTACACACAGCGGCGCTCGAGGAGGACGCTCTGATTGCAGAGTATGCCATGAAGGGGGCGAGTAATTCCTCTCAGAGGGACCCTTTCATCAAACTAGGCCATGGGTGGCTGGACTGTTTACAACTGACCTCCCACTAGAGCTGTGGGTGCTACAGGACGCAACTGGAAGCTCATCCCTCATGTCCTTTGAAGTCATGTCTCACATATGGTCAGTGTCACAGCTGGGCAGGCGTCATCCACGACAATGGAAAACATCCACTGTGATTTACAAGGACTGCATCTCATGACTGTTTGATGTAGGATGCATGTACATAAAAACATGGAAGTAATGCAAATTAATTTCCATAACCTCAGGTCTTCCGTTCACCAACAAGAGTGCTAAACCCTCCAGACTGCCGGTCGATTGTTTTTAACAGGGTTGCTAATCCACTCATTACCTTGATTAACTGCGTGTGTGTGGTCAGGCTTGGTAGCCACACACCATTACTCTCAGAAAAGACTAAGCCAAGCTAACAGCCTGTCAACAGCAAAGGTCTCCGCCACCGTCTCTCGCTGTGCTTTCTGCACCAGAAGGACTAAGAGGAGACGGCATGAATTTCTTATGGGAACTTTATATTCTCCATCAGCCCAACTGCAGCCCTAGCTGGAAGCAGCAGCGCTTTGTGCTGATCTGATGTGAGTGGAATGAGCTTGTTTGTAATGTATAGGGGGCACTTTCACTCGGTGTATAAATCATCGTAATACAGCAGGAAATGGGTGTTTGGTCACTTAAAGCTGACCCGAAGGCTAGTGGCAGAGGAGATGGTGTTGGACGTTGCCAGACACAGCAGAGTCCACCCATCGCTGGACTAAATCATGCCAGAGTATAGTCAGCATAAATGTTGCAGACGAGGGGAACGCAGTCACCTCTATGGAATATTTCCAAAAGACAGAATCCCTCGGAGAAATTCATATCAATCAATCAATCAATCAATCAATCAATCAATCAAATTTTATTTCTAAAGCGCTTTTCAAACAAAGTGTGATTCAAAGTGCTTTACAAAATGACCCCAGATTCCCATAACAGGTTAAAAACATTTACAAACATATGCAAGCACACGCGCACGCACACACATACACAAGTAAAAATTATATTAGGCTGAGTCCAGATGAGCCAAGTATGGTAACGCAAGGAAACGCCATCAGAGGAGCCGTCTGCCCCGGCAGCATCAGGTCTTCCACACTAAGTCAGGGCGCTCAGTGGAGGGGGAGCATAGACCCCCACCTATAGAGCGCCCAGGAAGCTACAGTCGACCACCGCTCCCGGGGCAGAGGGCCCCCACAGTGGAAACACTGGATTAAGATGAGTATCACCCACTGGATTTCATACCAGGCTTTTAAACCAAGAGTTACAGCTGATTTGGTCGAATCTTTAAAATAGCATTTATTGCTAGATCTTGCTGGATTTGTTATTTCACGCAAAGAATTCTGATTAGTTCTTAGGTGCTACCACATCAAATTCTACATCACATCTTAAGGATTTTGGACAGTTTCATTGACGTTCGTCCGTGTAGTTTATGAGATGCTTAGCAAACAAACAGGGCTGAATTGATTGATTATTGGCAAACTTTGAAGCAAAGATGTAATCTGGTTTGTTTCCACTAACTCAGCCTTTCCACTGGACGTTTTACCTGGGACCCCCCGTCCAAATGGAAGCCTTTCAGACGTGAAGCGGGAGTGACGGTGTTCCAAACAGCTGTTCGCGTGAGGTCACAAAGTCACGGGAGAATTCCAATACCACGCATGATTTTGGAAGCAGGGAGAATGACGGCAGCATGTGTCCAGAAAGGTCTGCGATTCATTTTCTTTTCTGTTCAACTCGTTCACTGCCATAGACGACTAAAGTCATCATTTGCACGTTTTTCCTGTGTGGGCGTCGGACGAGCCCCCGCACTGGGAGAACAAACATCTCGACTCTAAAGCCGATCTTCATCCGCGTACGTCACACGTCACGTGATCAGGAAGCAGAACATCCATGTGTTAGGAGATCGTTTTGGGCCATTCCTGTAAAAAAAGTGAGGCGCGAACCGGCAAAGCGTCTGCCGATCACAATTCAACAACGGATTATGAAAGAACGGATAACGCTCGAAACACGCGGATTCTTCCTGATGTAAGAGGTGAGTCTCCTCTTTGTTTTGGTTGTTTTGGTGTCGACATCATCCTAGCGCGCAACGTTCTGTGACTCTTAAAAAACCAACAACAAAAAACGGTGAGAAACGCTGGCAGCGAAGGGCTTTTTTTCCTACTTAGGAAAAACACAAGAGCAGCAAAAGAAGAAGCAGAAAGTACAATAAAGAAGTCAGCCGTAACAGATCACTGCATAAGAGAAAACCATGTAATGGACTGGGACAACACACGGATCATAAACACCGAACAACAAAAATACAAAAGATGGATCAAGGAAGCAATCGAGATAAGGAGACGTGGATGTGGGACCATGAACAGGGACGACGGAGTTTACACGCTGGACCACGCATGGGACTGCATCGTCGGAGAGGGGAGAGCGGGCAGTAGAGAAGTGACGCGCCACCATCAGCGTCAGCCTGAAGAAGCCGGCAGCCGTCGGCGAAACTGTAGCTACAAACAGGTAAACAAAACTGTTTCTGTGTTTAAAAAGAACGGAAGCATGGAGCGAAGGGCTTTACCCATCAGGAAACGGCTGGCAGCGAATAAATGATGTGACCCACACTTGTATAGCGCCTTTCAGAGTCAAAGGACTCCACCTGTGCAGCAGCTCATCAAGTGCTTCAGGAGCCTGTTAATCACCTGCTGATTGCTTCAACACACCTGATTTCAGAGTTAAAACTAAAGCATACCAGCCCTGCTGGACCAGGAGTGAGTACCTTTACAGTGTACGACTCATCCATTCACACACCGAGGGTGATGAGCTACATGTAGCCACAGCTGCCCTGGGACACACTGAAATAGGCGAGGCTGCCGAGCACAAGTACCACCAGACCCTCAGACCACCACCAGCAGGCAGGGACGGTTAATTGTCTTGCTCAGAGACACTACAGCAGAAATTTCTGACGGAAGCCGGGATCGAACCTGCAACCTTCCAATTATCAGACAACCGCTCTACCTCCTGAGCTACTGCTACCTCGGCTACAGAGCTTTCACAGGTAATGACCTACATTTTTTACTAGTTAAGCAACTGGAAATTTGCATGCGGTCTTTATTTTGAAAGTTTTCATATGTTTGACTTCCTGTCTGACCCGATCTGAGCTGCAGAGTTCTGGACGCGTAGCATGTAACAAATAGACTTGAGATGTAAGCAACGCGTCTTTATGCTTCTGGGACTTGTCCAAAAGGCGATGCTTTGCAGCCGGTGGAAAGGAGCCGGTCCACTACACTGGCGGCTGATTGCTGCGTATGTTTTGCGGCCATTTCGCAACACTTTCCTGTTCGGAAAAAAGGAGGCGCTGGAGTGTAATTTTGAGAGGACTCTTAGCCTCTACTGCACCACTTTTTAGATCAGAATCTGTGAAATTGACTGAGTCAGACACTTTCACTTGCTCTATCAATTATTAGCTTTGGCAGCCATCTTTAATAAAGACTCTCTAAAGTCTTGCAGAAAGTGTAAAGCTCAGAGTAACTGATGGGAATGACTCACATCTACCATAACATGAAATTTTAGCTCTATGTCTGTAAATTGGTCTGAGCTAGAGCCAGTTTTGCATTTGCTAATGTTGATTAACTGAAGCAGCCATCTTGAATGAGACCGACTCCAAAAGTTTCATTAATATCATTCCAGTGGTTCATATTTTACTCACAGACTTTTACAACAGGGCTGCGCAGTGGCACAGTGGTTAGAGCTGTTGCCTTGCAGCGAGAAGGTCCTGGGTTTGATTCCCGACCAGGGATCTTTCTGCATGGAGTGTGCATGTTCTCCCTGTGCATGCGTGGGTTCTCTCCGGGTACTCCGGCTTCCTCCCACCGTCCAAAAACATGACTGTTAGGTTGATTGGTCTGTCTAAATTGTCCCTAGGTGTGTGTGTGTGTGTGTGTGTGTGTGTGTGTGTGTGTGTGTGTGATTGTTTGTCCTGTGTGTCTCTGTGTTGCCCTGCGATGGATTGGCTCTTTGTCCAGGGTGTACCCCGCCTGATTGCCCGTTGACCGCTGGAGATGGGCACCAGCCCCCCCGTGACCCTGCGTGGACAAAGCGGGTTCAGAAAATGGACGGATGGACTTTTACAACAGGTGATAAAATCAGGAAATCGAATTGAGTAAATCTTCGTTGGCAGGGAGCTAACTCGACAAATAGCCTTTTCTTCTTTGCTCCTGGGTCTTAACAAAACCGAACAGAACAGAGTAACACCAGGACCCGGGACCTCCGTCAGAGCTGTCACTCCAGTGATAAGCTGGTGAATGGCAGACCAGCTAATCC